ACATACCGATGTTACACTTTAAAAAAATCTTTTTTGTTGTTACACTTTGAAAAAATTCGATTGTGTTGTTTCATTTCAATAAATTTTTTATTTTTGTTTCACTTATATGTGTTGTGAATAGAAGTTGCGTTTTCATTCTCGGACATTCAAATAAACAATCAATATTTGAGTTTCTTGTTATGTAATTTCTCCTCGCATGGTTTTTTTGATGGTCGTTTCAAACATGAAACAGAACAACAGGTGTTTTTTGTGGCGAACGTTGGCAATTGGTTTGAATAGTTTGAATACTGAAATCCAATTATAGCCAGAAATGGGCAAATAGCCAAGAGTACTTAAATCCATTGTCGCATTTACCAATCGAAGTGGTGTTGTTTTAAGCGGGCACCTGGGTCTGGGATGTGTGTGCGCTAATATGTCATTCCATAGTGGATTCGACTGAGCTATCAGTTTACAAAGATCCGGAATTGTGATTGAACTAAAATTCTCACAATTGTCCATGCGAAAATTGCATCTCTTCGCAGTAGCCTGGAGCTGTCATGAAGGAAAATAACAAACAACCAATTGGAAATTCGAATTAATGTATGAAACAAGTACCTCAATAGGACCGGAAAGGGCTGATGCCAACGTAAATTCTCCATTTACCACGTATTTATTTTGAACCACTCGAATTATGCTGACATTTAAAAGTATTGAATTGTTTGGATGTTCAGGACACTGAGCATAGCGATTCACTTGTATTGTGTAGGGTATGAATGGGCCGCAATCGATGTAAACAATGGTAAATCGCAAATATAAAGCGAGAATAAAAAGAAACTTTACTTTCATTTTCAAAGAAACCACTTCGTTTGATTTACTATTGACTACTGTGACTTGATTTGAATTTGTGATGATTTAATTCCAAATTGAATATTTGAAATTCGATAATGTATTCAAAATTTGTTATTGTCACAATCATTTCCGCTAGAAGATGGTCGTCCCAGATTTGAAGAGAATTTGATTCCACAGTCAGCAGATCTGTTATGATAAACGTAGATAGGATCTCGATACTCGAGCGTTCAATCCATTCGGAGTGGAAAAATAGTTTGAATGCAGTTAATGACCCTTGAAAAGCTGATGACATTGACGGTGATAAATGCGCATTGAATTAACTAGAACACAGTCGCCCGTATGAAGACTTTCATAATACACTGAATGAAATTTTCCGTGGTATTTTAATGATTTGATAAATTGTTGGCACTAATTAATATATCGATTAACATAAATCACTTGAGCTCATGGTAAATATGGTGCTGATCAAGAGGGGAGACACGAAACTTAAATGAGTAAAATTAGAACATTATTCAACGATAATAGGAAAAATTGAAGAAATTAGTGAGTTTGGTTTGCCAATGTTAACACTTATGGACGTATTGCTTATTGTTTACAAAATAATCCCGTTAGTTCTTACATAAGCGTTATATTGACAGTGTGATACAGTGCTCACGCTCTGCAACCGATTTCAATAGAAATAATAGCACAATATTAGCACTTTTGCACCAAAACTAGAAAAATTAGAGGACATAAAGCAAAAATATATAAAATTGAATGCAAGGTGCGGAAATAGTACGAAATTTCAAAATTGCCGCGTATTTTAGTTAGAAAATAAACTCCACTTTACATTGATTTGCTATATACCTCAGTGGCGCTAGTATCGTGAATGGGAGAAATTGACAGCTCTTCTTCCGAAACATGATTGAATGTAACTAGACTCTACTAGAATTTGTGTCTCGCCCCTAGGTGCTGATTGATGTGGTAGATTGAATGAATGATTTTGATGATGCATTCTAATATAAGGTCACCATCGATTTAACAGAATTGTCGAGACATTTTTTCGATCTGAATTTTCGACCTAGTAATTTATGTTGAATGTATGGATAGTTTGAAATAGTCTTGTCAATCATATGAAGTCTTCGTAGCTTTTGAATGCATGACAAAAATCCGAAATTGAATAGGTAATTCTTGTGATAATAGCTTTATTTGGCTAAGAAATCATAGTTAATGAATGAGACTATTTGAATGCTTTGAGGCAAGAAGGTCATTACCATTAATATTTTCATGTTATCATTGATGAGCAGGGCAACCAAAAATATTTATTTAAATACAAAAAATTCAAATAAATATTTTAGCATTTTCTGACGGTAAATAAATATTTCGCCATTTTTGAGTTTTTCGAAAATATTCCAAGGTTTTGGCATTTTTTCGTAAATATTTTCAGTTGAATATTTTACGACTTTTATTTTTTCTAAAATTTGTGATTAGAAAATCGAACTTTATTCAAATTTTCAATACTTTTCAAAAATATGTTCGAAAAAAATTTCGTAAATTTGGCGATATTTAGCTTTATCGTAAATATTTCAACAATTTTATCGTGAATATTACGTAAATATTTCGCCGTTTTATCGTGCATAAATAAATAAATATTTCGAGTTTTTTCATAAATATTTTTGGTTGCCTTGTTGATGAGTCATCAGTATGCTCCCTAATAAATGTCTAACAAAAATATCACACCAAGAAAATCATCAAAGCAATACATTTATTTTGCGAAAAATGTGCAAAGCTCAAAATTTATTCATTTTTGTGTATGTGTGTGTGTGAAAAGTAACAAAAAATCAACACCTTAACCTTTTATAGCATGAGTTTGAGGTGCGCTAATTGTGCCTCCCAATGATTTGGCTTGCGTGATTGTCACCTCAACGGCTAGGCAAATTAAAAGACGTTTTCTTCGTTCCGTCTCGTGTGGATAGTCGAAAAATGATAAATTCACCAGAATTTTTCCCGGTTCAGTTGGTGTGCGTGTAATAATGCCCAAGTCAAAAAAACTATTCTCCACGTGATACACTCCCTGCAAGTTAATTGGCCTTTTCAATCAATGGATGGTTTATGAAATTATTTGCACGTATATTAAAACTAAAATAAATTACCGCTTTCAACGGGCAAGTTAACGGCGGCTGCAGTGTTTTAACCACCGATGACCACAATGTGTTTGGGCTATTCAGATTCTTGCACACATTCGGTGTGGCTAACGTATCTAAATCATCACATTTGAATCGGCTAAATGAACATTTTGTCAAATTCATTTTGAACTGAAGAAAAAAAGAAATAAATGGTAAAGAGTTGCCAAAACGACGTTTTGATCATTATTCGATATTAAGCCGATTCTTCCGATTGAACCGACTTCTGTTTTCAAACGGAATTCATATAATATATCTTACATAAATATGATTATCGATATCGCTTAAGATTCGAATAGTCGCGTTTAATGCATATTTCTGTCGTTCGGGCTGCGTTATATCAAAAACATCGATAACTATGGGACTGTCTTCATCGATGGGGCATTGTTTTATATTTTCCACTTTCAAATCTTTTGGACGCTGAAATGCAAAAAAAGAACAGATGATTTGATATGGAAATTTTCCATTAAAATGAAAAAAAAAAATTCGTTCAATTTGAAATAGATGTGGTATTAAATTACCAAATTCCATGCGTAATTACTCCAATTCAGCATGGATATGAAAATGGTAAAAATGAGAAGTCTTTTGCCAATGGCGATCTTTGTTTCCATTCTGTTCTGTCTGATATGTCCAATGTGACTGACACCAGGCAAATCGAAAATGGAATGGCAAACGGGTTACCATCAATTTTAATCTGTCCAATTTTTGAAATAAATAACTGTTCGCGACAATTATTCAAGGCAGCGGTCTGAAAACACGAAAATACTCACAATTACTGCTGAATTTATCAATATTTTCTCATCACGACCATCAAAATCACTGAAACCATCTTGTATTTTTGTTACAGAGGAACTGGGCGACTACAATCCGGATGTCCATGTTGGCGACTATGTAACGTCGCTGAAACTTGCACTGCGTCAAACCGATCAATTGGAACGAAAAGTCATTGAGTTGCACAAAAAACGGGAGCCCGGTCAGGATGTTCAAATTGCGATTGATGAGTTTTTGTCAATTGCACGTGGATTGGAAACGTTCGGCATTGATCCGCATCCGGTGAAAGGTAGGTGGATTCCGTACATATGAATTTCATATTATGAAATATGCATCCATACGTGTCGAGTAGGTGGTTTTGTGACTCATTTTCTTTTCTTTTCTCCCTGAAAGATCATCGTGGCACACAGATTTATCTAGGCATCAATCACACGGGAATAAGTACATTTGCATCAGGGAAACGTGTGCAACATTTTCGATGGCCCGAAGTGCACAAGCTCAATTACGAAGGCAAAATGTTCATTGCCCACCTCAGTTATACGGACCGCGAAAGTAGAGAGCCGGTGCGTCATTCGCTATAAAAATCGATGTTTAAATGCGCGTGAAGGGCACGCCCTTTACGTGCACAACACATATTACGTTTGAATAAAAGTCATTGCTCTGTGAATTAAATCGATATGAAATGATATTCTGTTTGGTTTTTCTTTGTAATTGTAGAAAAAACATACAGTCGGCTTCAAGTGTCCTAGTGGAGCCGCTTGTCGTTACGTGTGGCGATGTGCAATCGAACAAATGCTTTTCTTTACGTAAGTTTACTCGAACTTTCTTAGGAATATTTTTCTTTTTTTCCCCATTTTAAAATGTCAACAAGTTCATTAAAAAGCAATTAAGAGGTAATGGATTATCATTTCTGCAGGTTGCCAAATAGTCAGCATGCTTCAGTTATGAGTGGTGGTGGTTTTATACGTGGCACCAAATTCCGTTACACTGGCCGCACCGAGAGAGAAATTCTCACGGAAAGTTTAAACGCCTTAAGACAACAACATTTGTTAAACAATACCAGCCCGAGTAAACGGAAAGCCAACAGTGTTCCAGCTACACCATCCAGTCCTCAGGGTGATTTAGCCGAAATGCGTATGTACAATCATGATTTCATATAGAATGTTTCCTATTCATTGCCGATTAGGCTCAATTATTTGGGGATTTAATTGATTTTGGGGAAAATTTAAAGAACTTTGGTTGAAAATGAACATTGAAAGGGCATCAATGCAATGGAATGTAAAAAAAAAATGCTCATTGTTCTGCAGGTTATAGCAGTTTGCCGCGGTCAACGATGTCTGAACCGATGGGTTGTGATCGGTTTTGCCAAGATACCACTATACCATGCTTGGAAACGGTGAATGAAGAAGCCAGACGACAAACAGGTACAATGATTTACATCTTTTTGATACATGACACTCAAATAGATATTACCAAACTCACATCGACGCCATTGATTTCTCCCGTTTTTTTTCTCTCCAGACAATGGCGATCTACCTGATTATTACTTCCGCGACTCATTTGAGCATTCGTCATCCGAGAGTGGTTACACAACAAATTATGATGCAATGCGTATGGGGCCAAATCGATTAAACCAAAATCACAGTACCACCGATAATTTTACATTTCATATGCATCAACAACACAACAACAACACATCGAGCTCAACGGCGATGGCAAACCAACAGAACGCCATCAACAGCGCTAAAAATATGAAAAAGTTTTCCATTTTACATGCATTTATACCCTCATTCATATTTGTTATTGTTGTACTAGTGTTTGCGACGGTATTCATTTTAGAATCGGATTCGGACAATTTTGTAACATTTAAATCATTGCCGGAAATGATGAGCCTAAATTATCAGTACTATCAGCCGTTCAAAGATTTTCTACTACGTCGAATGGGACTGAAGAGTTGAGTTCATCGTTCTGAAAAAATCGAAATTGGGTTTTGGTTTGATTTTTCCAGATAAAATTCACTTGCCCTTTTCTTCAATCAAATTTCAACTACACTTTCCACCGACCATAAATACCAAGATTATTTCACTTCTTTGCATGATCTCAATAAAATTAGAAGTTTTTTTAGTCGTCGCTTCAATAGAATCAAAATAGCATAGAGCAAATTTATTTCAGAATTTGAGTTGATTTCCCTCATTTTTTTTCTTCACCGTTTTGATTCAAATTACATTCAATTTACCAAAATCTTTATAGAAAAACTCAAATATTTCGTCCAAAAACCGACGATGGACCGTTGACTTATGCAAATCGATAAGATTTCACGCAACTTTTGTGATTCGCCAATATGCTACAAAGAAAAAAGACAGAAAATTGAAAACACAATGACAAAATAGAGGCATCGTAAAATGTTTAACACAAACAAAAAAAAATATTTAAAGCTTTCATCGAATTACTCAACTAATCGAATAACATTTAGAGTGCTTATATACGTCCGTTAATTGCTTAAACATTAGTGGTAAGCTTGGAGAGAAGTTTTTGTAACAACATATGCCACCCATCCTAACCTAGACACATTTTTTGAACGACCATTTATGAATTTGTACAGACACCAGAGAAGCATTTTGCAAACATTGAATGCAATTCAATAGCCGATTGATTTTTCAACTCCCTTTTGTGATAAAGGAGACAACATTTTTAAGCTATAGATTACAATCACCAATCATTTTTGTTATATATTCAAGAAAAAAGGGAGTATTTGGATAAATGTACTATTGAAATTGTCAATTTTCCAACAACAAAAAAAAACAATAAACGATTTAAATATGTTTAGCTGGTTAGGTGAAGCGCATCAAATCCACTTGCAACATTTTATACTCGAATGTTTATACATTTACAGAGAGAAAAACCAACAAACTTAGATAAAAACAAAAATAATAACGTTAGCTGGTTTAGGTTTTAGCCGCAGGTTTTTATAGATGGAAAAGCAGAAGTATATAATTGAAATAGGCAAAATTCAAACATAAATTTACGATAGACAGCATAGGATATTCCTTGTCTGCGTATTTCAGTTTTTTTAGCCTTTTTGATCCTGCAATCCTCCTTTTTCCTCACCTTCTCAATTCTATCTACCTCATTTCAACATTTTAATTACTTTGCCATATTTTGTGTTATATAAACAACTTTAAAATGATTTTGCAGAAGAAACTGAATTGTAGTTAATTGAATAGCCTTAGGCTTAGTTCAAATTTATTCGCTATTTTCGGTCAAAATTTTACGTTTGGCACACGGTTTATGAAAATTAACGCTTGCGTTTCGGTCTGCGCGCGGATTTCTTAATGAATAAACAAAGTTAGAATCCCAAAGATGTCAACAGTTCAAAACATTTCAGATTCAACATTCACACATTTTCCAAACATTTCGAAACGGGTTTTTCATAAAAATGATAAACAAAAATGTGTCATAAAAATGCTTGTTTTTAGATTTCAACACATATTCGTCGACATTTTTCGAAATTTATGCAATGATACCTATGTATTCGAATAATGAGCTGATAACATGGACGTTTTACTTCACGTTCCATCCTCATAAACTGTAATTCAAATCATTATTGCAAACTCAGAATATTCATTGACAAATTATATAACAATTTAATATGCAATTTTTATATAGATTAATAATATTTTCTATATATACAAAAACAGTCTATGTAACAAAAGGATAGAACAGAAAAAAGACACTCTCAATTACGAAGAAAATGAAATTTTTGGCAGCAAAACAAGAAAAACAGCACAATTATATTACAATTAAAATTTGCAGCATCTTTGACGATCATGACAAAAGCAATTCTAACATGTAGGACATTTTAAATTCACTCAAAACTGTGAATGGTATTTAAAGCGTAAAAGGAACAGTAAGGAGGAAAAAATGATCAGCAATTGTAGTTTAGCGACAAATTTTATGGAATGAAATAAATTGCAAATGATACGAATTCTTTTTTTAATTTAAATGTTCAAAGTGTTTTATTTCTATGAATGGAATTTCCGTCTGGTTTTCTTTATCTGCATGGAATTGGTCATATGTGTATGTTTATTTCCGTATTTCATTTTTTTCTTGATAAGAAAATGCGAGAATATTTATCGCTTGTTTTGAACAGTGTTAAGAGACGGAATGGTGAGAAACGCTTTCTTTGAAATGACGAATATAATGCGATGCTAAACTTAGAGCTAAATCAATTAGATTATCGATGTGATTCCATTGGATTTTACAGGAAGACATAAAAACCATTTCACAAACAGAGTGTAAGACAATTTGTTTGCCAATTAATTTCTAATATGATTGAATGGCCAAGAACACCCAAGAAAATGGCATATTAATCAATGAGAAAGTCCCGAGTAAGTAACTCACTCATACACATAGCGATGGTGTGGTGCACCTTAAGCTATGGATATACTGAACACGAACAGCAAATTTACACGATGCAATGACCGATGAAACATTGGCTATGAGGAACAAAATATTGAATCATACCTGTCCGTCATTACGTAGCCCATGGTAATATTTTTGAGGTCAATAGCATTTGCACCGCATTGCAAATGGATGGAATTCGATTCGACTGGCAAGCCATTCCCTAATAAAAATTTCATTTCCATCGATTGCAGCACGTTCTTCAGGTCAAATTTTCTCAATCAACTGTGTGAATGCCCTCGATCTCAATTGACACCTATCAAATTGATCATCAAGGTATCGGTGAAAACTGTAAATTGGAATTGTGTATCTGATAATCTCTCCAAATCGAATCAAAGTAAAAAAAAAACTTTTCTTAAATAATGATCAACAAAACACAGAACATAATACATCATGATCCACACTCAATGCAGCTAACGGTATATTACCTTTTACTCTTGATCTCAGCCTGTAATCGAAGTAAGTAGAGATGTGGTTGGTAAGTAGGCGAGTGTCAAAAACTTATTAAAAAAATGCCACGCACCCTAACCACACTCAACGCAAATCCAATTCGTGGTACTCATGAGTGCCGTTCGAAATGATTGTAATGATTGGAACGAAATTGCGCGCATAATAATGAATACAATGGTAAGCAAAGAAATCAATTGCGTTGTTGGAGTTGGTGTTGAATCAACACTGTTTTGATTCTCCTGTGTTGATTGTACTGCGATCTCTTTCTTCACGTTTTCCATCGTCAAAAGAGTTCACCTTTCAAAATGTGTAATAGTTTTTTTTATTGAAATACTCAAAGACTATGATTCGCACGAGCTACATTATAATTTATGAGGTTAATGATTTAGAATAATTGCATTTAATTAGCGAGCGATTAAATCATTGGTTGGTAAGTAGGAAATTAGCGATTTAAAATTGTCAGATGAAGTTATCGACGGACGGCAATTTGCAGTAAATGATCTATGAAATAGAAGAAACGCTGTCGATTCTACTGCTGATTATACCCGATGGTCACATTGGTCGTTTACAAGTTCATGCAGAAAACCAGCTTAAGCCGAGAGTGTTCTTTGTTGTGTATGAAACGTACAACCATCAATCGTCATCGTCATTAGTAGTGGAATGAAATTCGCAGAGATCGAGTTCAGTGACGGGCTGTTGGATATAAAGAGCTGTGCATAAAAATCAGAATCTTAGTTCTATTCAAGCAGTGGCATCATCGACTTCGTCAAGAAGACAATTCTCTCTCGCTTCACAATTCGGTAGCATAAAACAGAAGGTGCGAAGCAAGCAAGCAAAAATAAAGAGCCATACATAAACAGATTAAAACGAAAAACAGGTTCAATAAATTCATTTGGCTCTAGTGCACTCTATACACACACTCTGTTGTGCCTTTCTTTCATTTCTGCATCTAAATCACGTATGCAGAAGCCGACCCAGTCGTTCGTGATCTTGAACTTCGGATAAACTACAAAACGCACAAGAGAAACAAAAAAAACATAACGAAAGAAATATTCCAGTTGCAAGAAGTTAAAGAACAGATGTGCGCAGCAGAGTCCAACTCGTTCCCATAAATAAAAACTTGAAATTAAAAAAAAAAAAACAGAAAAAAACCTGTTGAACATTTTATTGGTGTTTTGTTTGTTAATTAGTGATTAATTCTTTTCGTTTCATTGAAAGTAGAACACTGCAAAGAAAATGTCGAAGTTGATGCTTTTTGGATGCTCTCTTCTCTTCGTATTCGCTATTTTAGTGAATGATTGTGGTAAGTCATTCGTTTGGATTGTATTAATAGCGGCATTTCAATGAGTCGTTCTAACGCGCTATTGTTGTGAATTTATACATTTTTTATTGCTTTTGTTTTGCATACATTTGATTGATATTCATTTGGATTTGGCGGACATTCAATTTTTTTCCCAATCCTTTAATGCGTTTAAAAGAGATGATTCATCAATCAAGCTCAATGCTGATGTAATTAATTTAAGACATTACTCAGCAAATTTCATATTTTTGTGTCGTTCAAGTTCAAGACAAAAACTTTAAGCTGACCCAAGTTAATTTAGAATATACTACGATGAAGTAAGCGCATGACCAAAATGACGCGAGATTGTACGGACAAACGGACATAGCATTCAATGACTAACATTTATTGAATCAACGAGCCAATTCACCAAAATGCCAATTCGACTTTAATCTTCTCCGCTTGTTTTTGTACACTTCAATTCGATATCATATTTCATTCACACAACTTATACATACAATGTTGAGTCAGCGCGTGCGCACCCGAGAAAGATAAAATTGATAACGAGTAAAAATGTGAAATTGAGTACAGAACCAATTACTATCGTTAAAAGTCGATGCTCTTAATGTGTTTGATCGTGTGATAGCTTTTACTCGCGCTTGTCGTTTAGTGGGACAACTGACACATTATTGGTCACACAGCGCACTTTCAAGATATTGCCGAAGGTTGCTCTCGCTAGAAAATGATTTAAAAGCGTTTTACCATAATATCATGAATCAAAAAGGTTGTTCATTTAGGTTCTTTACACATGATTATGGATGTTTAACTAGAAATTGATGCTTCGCATGCGAACGTAGTGAAAGAGCCGGAAGAGAAAAAAAAAACAACAACATTTTCATTTTAGCTTTAAAAAGAAAAACTATTTTGCATTTAAGAATCTCTCTTCATGCAGAGAGGGAGATAGAGAGGGAGAGAGAGAGAGAAAAGAAATAATGGCAATTTACTTTCTATATTCTTTTAGATTCGTATCCATATCAGTTTTTGCCGATGAAAGAAGGCTATGTGCCAGTGTACATTCGCTTGGGCGAACAACCGTTGAACGATATCAACCCAGAGCTGGCCGTTGCTTTTCACGAAGTCGCCGTTAATGGACGACAATTAAAGTCGAATGATGAAGTAAGCCATAAATTATGACTCATATGACAAACAATAAACCGCACCGCTAACCGCAATTATAACAACATGAAATTCATTTTTATTTTGCTTCGTTTTCAGTTTAACGAGCCCCAAGACGTTAAAGTGCCACAATTGGAGAAAAAAGTCGACACCGACCCGAAGATAGAACACGTTGAACCACAACCGGTTGAACATAAAGTTTGATAATATTTTGCCAGAAATTCGCAATTAGCCTGTCAATTTCGTATTCTAAGTAAACAAAAAAAGAAGAAAATACAGAGTATTCATTTAGTTCCTCCATTATGATCGACGCATGTCTTACAATACACAACTTACGAAATAAACTTTAGTGATAAAAACATTTTTATAACATCGTTTCATTTCGATAAATTAGGCATTATCTCTAGATAAGCATAACAGCTTTCTTCATGGATGTTTTGTTTAACTAATGAAAGGAAATATGTTTTTTTTTTATCAGAAACAAAAAAGAGAGAAGTTAAAGAAACAAAAGGAAAAAAAAGCGAAAAGAACGAAAAATGGTCGAATTAGAATACCATTAATTTTGCACCGCCTTTATCGCACGATCGTGAGTCTCGAGTCTTAAGTAGAAAAACGTGTTTGTAATGACAACAAATGTGTTTGCACTTGGCTGATGCGAAAAACATGACTTCATAACTTTTTTCGAGTCCTTAGTCATGCGGTATTTTTTTTTCTGTTTCGTTCAGAAAGAAACGAAAATACAAAAAAAAAAGAAATTTCGAGATATTTATTATCGTTTTATATCACAATGTTAAATTGCACTATTCATAGAAATGAGGAAAAAATAACTGTGAGAATTTGCGTTGAATGGAATATTTCAAGTGATGAATGAATAATATTTTCTGGATTTCTCTATGAATAACTGCTATTTGATGCGATAAGCGGATTGCGTAAGTACAAATATGTAAAAGGTCGAATCAGCATGTAAAAACAAGTTTTGGCACGGAATTTGTTGTGCAAATATTTTCGCCGCAAAACTTTACAATATTCGTTTATTTTCCTGCATTTTATAAGCCCGGAAAAGAACGTATTAAATCAAATAAAGACCTACAAGAACAATTACTCTCATTTCAATTTGAAAGTTTCATAGCAAGCGTCAACCGAAGTAATCACTTAAGTGCTACGCCAATATCAATTGGTACACAAATTGTCTGTGTAAAATAGTATGAGTCTAACATTCCGATCACACAGCATAGATGTATATGGCGTGTGCGACGTAAACGTAAAACAATGAATTTAAATGAAAGCCGATTATTATGATTGAAATTAAAATTCGAGGTTAAAAGCGCTTTAAATCGAATGAAGATTTTTTCGGAATTAGCCAAATATCGTCAATGCTGTGATAGCAGTTTAGGGCCTATGCACAAAATAGATGATAGCGTCAATGACCCAAAAAGTCAAAATAAATGAAGAAATTAGCGAATAAAAAAGAGAGCCACACACCGACAGCAAAATTGCAGTTTTCGAATGTGTTTCAAGCAAGAAAGCATCTGAAAGTGCTAGAAAAATATAGAATAACACACATCGTATGGAATATGTTGAATGCGATTGTGTGCGTGTAGTGTCTGTATGGTGAATGTCAAGCGTCAAACACATAGATGCATGTTGAGGTATCGGTATTCATTTTCTAGCAGTTCTATTCGACGCCGACAGAGAGTGAGACGGACGGAATTCGTGCTCACTCCGTATAAACACCCATACACGTTCACGGTCACTGTGTCGCTACATCAACGGAAAATGGGTGTGTATGTATGTGCTTGTTCGTCTGAGTGTGTGTGTATTTTTATGGAGAGACACATCGTACGAAACAGTATGATAAAGCGAAAGCCGAAACACAACACAAAACCGTATGTATCCAAAGAGAGCCGCATGACATACGCGCTATATGTCTGTATTACTTCATTTATTGTTTAGATTGCTGAGCGTTAGGGAAGGCATCAGTTCAGTTTACATTGTGCGAATCAGTGTGAGAGAAAAAGTGAGAGAAAAAAGAACTACTACGCTGTTACGATGAAAAATTCATTTGATTGAATTAATTTGATTGTAATTTCAAATTCGACCAATTTGTAATTGAATGTGATTCATCAGGTGTGCCGTTGCTGTTCGAGTGAACACTGAACATTCTAATAAATTCATGACAATTGTGCTTTAGTTTGGGCATTCGTTTTAAGCGTGTTCCGTGTGTATGTGCATAAGAGCATAGAGAAAGGGTGATGTTTTTTTCTCCTCTCTAAAAAGACGATATCTGACAGTATTGTATGTAGCGTGTTTCACGGCTACTGTGGAAAGTTTCTAGAAAATTCGATTTGATCAATGAAAAATATTTGACTGCGAAGGAAATTTGTGATAAACTGATAACCTTAACTTGTTTCGACGATCCAAAAAAAAAAATGGAACACAGTCTGTTCATGTGAAATGAAAAAAAAAACAAGAGAAACATTGAAGGCGAACATTTTTTTTCATTATAGCGTTCAAATAACGCGACGTGTATTTTATTAAATATAGAAAGACGAATAGACACACAAAAAACATAGTGACAAAGTTGAAAACAAAAAAAAACTAAAATAATGTATACCATATCGCCGGCCTTCCTAACATTCGTCGGAGTAGTATTTTGCATTCTATTTCGGAATTTCGTCAATTGTCAACCAATCAAACCATATATAGCATGTTTTGATGAATCATTTCTTGACTGTATCTTCAAGTATGCCCCAATCCTTCGCGATCCGTAAGTGTATTTGTGGTTTTTTATGTGCCAATGTATATGTTCTTATTATTATTCACCCAAAAAGTCATTAAATTTCAAATGTGATCACCATGACAGAACATGTGTCTCATATGTGAACAACAATATTCGGTTTTCTTGTTTCGAACGAAGAGAAAAAATTCCTTGACTCATTATTTGTTTAATTTAAATTTCGAATTCGTACAACGAAGTAGAAAAAAAAATTGTTGCGAATCTCAACCACATAAAATATCCACAGTTTAAACCATAACAAAAGAGATAAAATTGCCGTTGTAATGAAATTCGGAATATTCATGAGAAGATAGAATCGATTTTGTTCTTTTGTTGCGAAGAAGAGGGGTGTGTTTTACATAATCAAACACATACGACTCAAACATATTTCTTCACACTCAAACATATTCAATTGGCTTTTGTGTTAAATCTTCATTTAATTGTTGCTCGCTCCAAAAATATGCGGCACAAAATGATAAAAATAATCGCGGTGCCTAATTCTAGAATTAGACTTGAATTTGTGCGTATATGTGTGTAAATGTGTACGTGTGCCAGTGGCCAGTGTCTCGTTAGATTAAATTGAACACTGTATCGGTTTGAATTATTATAATCACAAATTCCAGCGAAGCTGAACGCTATCATGACTATAAGTCGAATTTGACTTGATTCGCCTATTGACGTCGTCGATTTGTTATTATTATAAATGCTCTCTGATTATGTGCCATTATTACTATTAAAATAATACTGCGTCGCCCGTTCTTATCGAATGAGTCGGGAACTTGAGAAAGTAATTCGAAACTAGCTATGCACTCTGTGTGTTTTTTTTCTCTCTCTCGCATTTCACTTGTCATTTGAAGACACAAACAAAATGATTATCCAGAAATGGAACTTAAAATGGTTATCAAAGTTATATTTATTAAAAGGAAAACTTATTGTCAATTTTGCTTTCAACTCGCATACAGATATGTTCCGACATTGTGGGGCTATTCGGGACATTTGCAAACAGTATTCCATAGTATAGTTGGTCGTGTCAAATGCCCATGGCCATCCGGTGAACGAATATACATGACGTTAGACGATAATTCAACACTCACATATGACCTGTATCAACCATTGAACGAACCAAATGGTAAGTTGTCAAACCATTGACCATCAATTATTCATTGACGATGAAAAACGGAAAATCCATTAATCTCATTAATTTTAGGGTGGGAAGAAACTCTGTAGAACTTTCTGATTCATTTAATATTTACATACAAAACACATTACGAAAAATTCGGTCATGAAAGCGATGACCTTTTTTTAATGTTTGTCTTTGCTCCGTATTTTTTTCAATATCTCTCTCACATTTCCTCCCTTCCTTCCTCCCTCTTTCTCTGTCTCCTATTGTTTTGATTTCACAACAATTTAACGTTTCGAATTTAATCTACGCAGATGATGTGACGGTAGCTATATGCCCTGGAATTGGTAATTCGTCGGAAACAGTATACATACGGACGTTTGTTCATTTGGCTCAATCGATGGGATATCGATGTGCCGTACTCAATCATATTGGCGCACTGCCATCCGTTGAAGTAACGTCTAGTCGGATATTTTCATACGGTAAGTGGTGTATATGACTCGTGTTGAGTCACAACAATTGATTTTAATCGATTGGCATTCGATTTGTTGCTTCTGTTTCTCTCTCTCCCCCTCTCGCGCTTTACTTTTATTTATTTATTTTCTTTTATTTATTCGTGCATGTGATATAATTGGTTGCTTTTATTTGATAAGAAAATTCTCGCATGATTGACGATATGCACACGTTTGTGTATCAATTGCACATGATTACGAATAATAATTGTATAGAAAATTCGATTCGGTCGCCAACGACGCGAGCAATTTTAATTGAAGCAATAATTATTGCAATTATTATTTTAAAAAAATAAAACAATTGTTTGTCTTCACAATTACACACCAAAACAGGCCACACCGGAGATTATCAAGCAATGGTTAAGCATTTGGAACAAACGCATCCATCGACATACATCGTTGCGGTTGGCTTTAGTCTTGGTGGTAACATAGTCACCAAGTATATGGGCGAACAAGAAGGAACAATGCCACGAAATGTAATAGGCGGCATATCAATATGTCAAGGATATAATGCTGTCGAGTAAGTATTGACATGAATAAATACACTTCAATCGCAATGTGTTCAAAAATCAACGCCATTAGTCTAACACACGCCTAAATAAATAATGTTTCTTTCTTTTTTACAACGCATTTAAATTTACCAGAGGTACGCAGTTCCTGTTAAATTGGGAGAATTTCCGACGCTTGTATTTGTATGTGATGACGGAAAATATGAAGCAAATCATACGCAAGCATAAGCATGTTTTATTATCCGAGGATGTGAAGAAGAAGCACGGCATCAACGAATCCGATATTTCATATGCATTAACACTGCCCGCTCTGGATGAAGTTTACACACGTAAAATTCACAACTTTCCATCGGTCAACGATTTATACCAATGGAGCTCATCGCTTAATTACTTACAGTACATTAAGAAACCCATGGTGTTCATTAACTCAAAAGATGATCCGCTTATTCCAGAATCGTTGCTTGAACCCATCAAAAAGCATGCAAGTAAGTAGAAAAACAGACGAGAGAAAAGAAAAACTCGCTGAAGTTTTGCAGAAAATACTGAATAGGTCACATTAAAGGTCATTAAAATGGCACAACAATAGGTCTACCATTCACTAATTCCATTGTTTTTATTTTTTGTGTCTTTTGTCTAGGTAAACACCCCAATACTCTGTATGTTGAGGTAGCCCACGGTGGCCATTTGGGCTTCTATGAAGGTGGTCACATTTTTCCAAATCCGATCACTTGGCTAGACCGAGCTACAATTGCCATCATCGGTGGCATTGTACTATCCAACAAAAATCGATTAATGCACAAAGTTGAAATCGATTAAGGGGGGTTCGCATTCGACCACGTTCGTTTGAAACGACGCAGAGTTCTTTTTTAAAAATACAAATTATAAAATATGACATCGTTTGGATTCCAACATATTTGTCTAACACTGTCAAACCAAAATACGAGTATAAAAGCCAAATAAAAAGCCCACGCATTTTATGAACCATCATCGAACAACAGAAGAAGAAGAAAACAGATACGGAAAACATCAAAACACACATTGTTCGAGACATCTCATATTCATAAATGTGTATTCGCCGCCATTCCCATCTGTCGCTCCGTTTATTTCGTCCAACAAATTGTAATTTCCATTTGATTTTAGCGCTCAAATCTAGATGAGAGCTGCATCGTGGTTTTACTTAATGTCTTATTTTCGGTGCAAGAGATATTAAATAATGACAGCACTTATTTATTCTAAAGAAAACATCATGATACAAAAACAAACGAAAAACTATATCAAGTGATTTTTTTTGATGCGTTAAGTGAATGAATTTTAATTCGATTGATAACGAAAAAATAAAAAAATAAACATAAATTACACAAATGCTTAATTTATAAGTTTTACAGGCAGGATTGAGATTTAAGATTTAGCGTGAATATAATTTTTAATATTGATGTACGCTTACATTCGTTCGTTTTATTTGTTTTGAGTAATGAATAAAACACACACAAAAACTAAAGTGTAATTAGTTTCAAGAAGAAAAGGGGAAAAAATTGATCAACCACATTAAACCACATGACACCATCGTTGCTCCGCCTCAGTGTGTTCACATCGGACACACACATTCATCTATAATTCTATATTTAAATATATAAATAGCAGTTTACTAAGAGAGGCTCAATTTTTTTTTCCATTTTTACACAGGGATTTAGTTCTCCTTTAGATATTATTTCGTACGAATATATATATAGTTTCCTTTGGGAATGACATTCAACATCCAAACTAAATTGCTTTTTTTTTTAAAACATTCCCAACTGTACACACAAACGGAATTAAAACAAACATACACATACAGTTGCATTTAGGTAAATTTAATTGTTAAATTATTCGAAAGAAAAATAATCAAATGAAACGAAAGAAAATAAAAAAAAACAGTAAAATCAAATAGAGTATTTTTCATTGTGTTATCAAAGTGGTTTCTTCACAGTGCATGCATCGTGAGTCATATCAGCCAAGCGGTTGCGGTGAATTCGACGAACTTCGTACCCATGAGTGGTGATAACAAAAACCACACAATTTCCTAAGAAAATTCTACTATTTATTTTGATTGGCTTCATTTTTAGTCGCATTTTATTATCTGACCTTCCGATCGGTTTTGTCATCGGTCCAACTGCCGTTATTATTGTAAATCACACAAACGGCGCTTGTGATTTGTGCATCGCTTTCGCTAATCGTCTCGTTGTACGCAAATGGCAAATAAATAATAATTGCCTCGAAGTAGCTTTGAACAAATATGTATATCGCGATGAGGCACGCGCTAATCGCAAACCCATTTCTATCCCATCGTGTTCAGCAGCCAGCTGCAGTTCACAAGTTGTAAAACAGGTATGTGCAAAATTACTGGAAGTAATTAAATATCTACCCCAAGCCATGTCGGGCAATTTGATACATTGTACGAATCAGCAATTCATCTAGAAATACAAGCCTAGAAAGGGAAATATGATGTGTCGATCAGCGAATAATGGAAGAATTCCGACGAAAATAAAAGACGTTCTTTATCTTTTGACACATAATACGATTTATTTACTATTTTTATGTGAATATTTTCGATTTTTGTTGTTTTTTTGACTTAAAATGTAACTTTTTCACTGTGATTCACAATAGCGCTCACTATGTTGTTATTGTTGTTGTTGTTTCTGTTCTATTATAGGATTATTTCCATTGAATCAAAATGAGCAAAAAAAAGAAAATAACAAAAAAAATGGAACTTGAAATGATTTTTATCTGCTTTTTTAATTATTTTTTTCTCTTCTGTTAGAACTATGATTTGACTTATCCAAAAATATACACAATATTCCTTGTTGAGCGTTAAATAGAGTTTATTATAAACAGAACTGTTTGTTAACGCCACCAAAATTACAAATTGATATTTATATTTTCATATCTATTGATTGAGTCGCACGTTGAATGAGTCGAGATACAATCAAATATCAATTATACAATTGATATCACCCATAAAAAAGATGATGCATGTGGTTTCTTTTCGTTTGCTATGGATCAGTTCATTCATTGAGGACGTATCGATATAAAAACATAAAAAAATTAAATGGTAATTTTGCAGAAAAAAATAGCGAAAACTATTTCGTTTGAACGAAAAAAAAAAACATTGGCACAAATTGGATTTCTTTTTATTTCATATTTCGTTAAATTGAATTTAAAATTCTATGACAATCAATTTAAAATAATAAATCAATTATCAAAAATTCATATTGAATCAAACTGATCTATCTATTGAAATGATAAATCAGATTTGAGTGTCCCTGCTTCGAACGAGCAAGAAATAAATCATCTTTAGTTTCCAATCTGATAAAAAAAAGAGGAACTTAGTGTTTTTCGATGTATTTTTAGGGGGTAAATAGAAAATAAACGTAGGATTATACATAAATTATACTATCAAACGGGTTGAAAAGCGAAGCATATAACAACGTATAAACGGTTAGGTGTATAGTATCAGTTTTAAAAATGTGTGTTTGATGAATTTCATATTGGAAACTCTAATCTATTGAAGAATTGGTCACATTCATTTTTTTTTTTCAATTTGAAATGAGAATCAGGAAAAATCGCAGCTGTGCTTGTAGGAGGTTCCATCTTTATATTTAAAAAAAAAATCAAGATTATTTTTGCTTGTTGATTTCCGAATCGAGATAAGGTTGAATCGAACGTTACATCATTTTTTTTTCGTTCATTTATTTTTCAAGCTAGAAAAACAACCGAATGCAATTGTGTAAGAGTCTTTGTTTTTTCTTTTCTTTTGTCAACTATCGAATAAAAAAAAAATAATTTTGATCTTCGGAAATGTTGTCGCAATTCTTATCGCCTAAAAAAATTTCATTGTGTGATCACGTTACTAAAATGATGTATAGTGTGGAGTTTTTTTTCTTTCTCTTTCTGAATCAATTTCTTCTTCGCCAAATGTGTTTGTTTCAGCCTTCGCATCTTAATTATTCTTTTGTTTAACCAGCCTGCATTCTCCATTCATAAATTTATGTTCGCCTACGAGTGTCAATAAGTTAAAAAAAGTTGGTTGTTGATATTCACATTCACGCGCATTTTGTGTATCTGTGTGTATGTTGTTGTTGTTTTTGTTGTTGCATTTTTCTTTTATTCTTTTTTCATAAATTTTGCTTTCTCCTAATTCATCCACAGCATGAAATGCATGCGGAACCTATATGGAAACTAATATAAATTCTTTTTCGTTATTTCCTTTTCAAGTTTAAATTCATCGTAAATCAGGATAGTATACAAACTAGAATTTTATCATCAATAATTTTCGTTTCCGTTTTTATGCTAATTTCATATGCTTCTTCTGCTGTTTCCATTCGATTCCTTGAACAATTCTCTTATCAAAGTGTGTGTATATTTCGGATAATTTTTCGGTTTACATGTAATCAACATACAAATAAAAATGACATATTTGGTCTAAAAAACGAACTTTAAACGGGCAATGGCATTCTGATTTGATCTGAAGATATGGTAGCTCATTTCTCTTCATCTCTCTAAATGATTTTTTCTATTGTAGTTGCTTGTTATATGTAGAAAATCGAATACATAATTATTATGTTGTTGTTGTTTGTTTTTTTTTGTTCTTACTTTGTAATAGTTATATATGTACGTGTTTAGTTTTTAGTTTGCCTTACGAATTAAATACATATCTTGATTAGATTTATTGTAGATTTTGCTTTTCTTTTCATGTTTTTTCTCTTCACTTGTCTCGATTTTGGTTACAACCACAAAAAGCAGCTAAATCACGTTGCATACCGCTTAGTCCATAATCTAGCGATTCGGTCGTGTTCTTCCCTATTTTGCAAATATTGTGTGGCAATGCTTCCAACAAGTGGATCGGCTAGAAGGAGAATAGAAAAACGGAGGAAAAGAAATCAGGAATTCGTTTAAGAGATGGATGTTTTGGTTTAAAAAATCAAAAAAAGTTGTAATTATCATTTTGATGTTTATCAACAAGAATACGATTAAGAAGAGCATAAGATGGCAATAGATAAAAATTGAATTTGGAACGAGTCAACTCGACCCGTTCATGTAAAAAATTGTAAAGATGGAATTTGTTATTTAAATTGGTCGAACAAATTAAACGATAAAATTTTTTTGGACATGATAACTTTGGAGATAATCGCTGATTATTAATCGGACACTCTTTAGTGAAGAATCTGAACTTACCAGGATTGCAGTCGGTCAAAAGTGAGCAAATGGATAGTAATACTTTTGAAATGGTCAGTGCCGGTGACCAATTGTCTTTCAAAATATCCAAACAGATAACGCCCTGACTATTTATGTTACAGTGATATATTCTCGTCCGGAAGGTGACCTATTGAATGAATGTATTTTAATTAAAATCATGCCTTGTTGTTCGAACGCTAATTTTTGTTTGCGTTCAGTTGTAATATATTTTCATCACCTAAGTTGAGATGTAATTTCATTGATTTTTAGAATATTTTTTTGAATAAAAAAAAAATGCAGTTTACATGTAAGTTACTGTCATTACAATGAGAACAGCCCACTAGTTACACTAGCGGCACCATACCTTTGGTGGTTTGAATGGGTATTCCGGTGAGAAGTGTATGTCTAGGAAAAATACACCACCTTCATACACGGAGCCTGGTGGACCCAGAATTGTTGAGACCCATTCGTACAAATTATCACCTTTTGGACCGGCTGAACAGTTTGGTGGTGGATCAAGTGTGATTTCGGCCAATTCCTTTTGTATGCGCTTCGCAGACGTGCCCAATGCCTTGGAAATCTTTGGATTTGGTTTTGGATCTTTTGTTTCTGGCTTTGTTTCTTGCGGTCCCGAATTCACCGCCGATGCACTGCCATTGCTGCTGCTGTTGTTACCATTGTTGCCGTTGCCATTGCCACGGCCGCGACCACTTCCACTGCTCGAACCTGCGCTCGATGACATCTCTCGCTCGTCTTCACTGCACCCACCAACGAAAAATAAATGCGAAAACACACACCGTTCTACTCTGGCCTGTTTATCTTTCCGCACCGCTGCTACACACAATTCACTCTTCCAGATTAGACTGTTTTACCATTTGGTCAATCCAAACAAATGTCGAACGAACATGAAAAGAACAAAAAAACGAGGAAAAAAACGATTTATTAATCAAAGACAAAATCTGATGCCATTCACTGTTATATCAATAAAACAAAGTGAACGGGATTTTTCTTTCTCATTTATGCTACACATTTGCACGAAACAGGCTTTTCGAATGTATTCTCCAGAAATCAACACATTCCTTTTCACGCAATTCAAACTTATTCCTCTATAAATACACAAAACGTTGTGATTATTTCCAATTTCCAAAGCAATTCCGAAATATTTCACTGTCAATTCATCATTCCTTTGTCTATGCTGCTGTCGTCTCTGAATACAAAATTAACAACACCGAACTTGCAAATAAAAATGCTTGGAACAATTTTCAATTTTTGTCGTATAAAATTCTAAAATGCGTGAATTTTTTAGCTGTTCATCCGATCTATATAGTCACAAAATTTGTTGCGGATATATGGTGCAATACAAAGAAAAAATGTTCGCAAAAAAACACTCTCATGAAGACGGCCATTTTGAGACATTGCCGAAACAAAAACCGATATTATATTAATCATCCGTTGCTTAGTCGGCTTTGCATTTCAAACGATTTCGTTGTTTTTTTTTCTCAACAAATGCACACTGCTCAAAATCATTAAATCAATCGAATTAAAACCGTAATCTGAGATAATTGTCGCGAATTCGGAAAAAAATTACCGAACAAAAAAAAGTCGCTTATATTCTTGTGTACTTACACAGCACAGAGAGACGATTCTATATGCACACATACAGGTTATAACCTTTAGCTTTGTTAGAGCATTTGTGAAAAATTTTCGGTCTTAATTCAATAGTCAAGTTAATCGTTTATGTTTACCTCAATTGTTTTCCGCTCTGTCCAATGGATTATTCGATAAATCGATGACGGTTTTCTTACAATTTGGATGGAACAAATCTATAAAAAATAATTTTTTCTTCTTTCTTACTAGCTGTCTCTTGTGCACACACGCACTACCTTTGCTTCGCTATTTTCTTCTCTGAAATGAACAGCAAACCGTGTGTATCGTTTACAAAGCAATCTACTCCGAACAAGCACACAAAACGAACAAGAGACAGTCACACAAACACACATATACATGCACACACGAAGAGCGATGCATACACAGACGCACATACACATTTCAACACGGTGTGAATTCGAATTGAACGCCTTCAGACATACAGTGTATACAGAAAATACTGTGGCAATCGTACGCATACAACACAACACAACGATTGACAGAATCGCTGAGGCAATACCAATGTGTACATGCATGAAACGGCGTTGTGTTTATTATGCCGATGACTTGGTTTACATCGAATATGGCTTTTTTTGGTTGTATAGTCACGCATATTTCTTTGTTTTCATCCAAAAAAAAATACCGTTCTCATTAGATCACGGCGATTTCGCGTCAAATTTAATTTAATTTTTCTTCAGACGCAGTTTTGTCCTCTGCACTGTTTCTCTGACGAATTTTGTTATCATAATTTGAATAACATATTTAATCAGCAAGCAATTGATAAACTTTAACGTTGATTTCTTCAAAAATAAGGGAATACTGGACGATTCCAAAGTACTCATCTTAATAATACCAAATAAACAAATTATGGCGAGGATTTTCATGGGGTTTTTATTTAAGAAAAAAAGTTTGTTTTTGTAACGAACTGTCTATTTTAATACAAAATATTTAAATGGATTTCTTCGATTTAAAAATGCGCACGGAATTATCCGCACCACCCGATACCATGTATTTTGGATTCGACCAATCGCAATCGTGTACTTTATCTTCATGCCCAAGTAAATCGAATAATGGGGCCTTTGAACTTCGCATATCCCAGAGTTTTACGCAATTATCGTATGATCCAGAAATGAACAAATGCTCTTCGGTGGTGGACCAAAACACTGATTGCACCCACTGTGTGTGGCCAGAGTATGTGTTTTTCACGATTGTTCCAGCTGAAAAGTAAGGAGATGCTTCTTGTTAATACATTTTTCTTTGAATAAAAAAACAAATTAAATAATTCGCACTACGAATAAAAATGGAATTTCCGAATTTTCTTTTCAATTTTGGTTGATGAAAAATGAGTAAAACAAGGCAAGTTTACTCACAATTACTTCTCAAATCGTACAAACGAACACTTTTGTCGGCCGAACAAGTGATAACTAGCCCATTGAGTTTAGAGTGGCTCACATCGAAAATGGGTTTATTGCCATTGATTTCTGACTTAATTCCGCCTTGTGCCAAGTCCCACACACGCAGCGTGTGATCCCATGAACCGGTCAAAACCGAATCTTCCGTGATCCATTGAATGCCCGAAATTGCTTCACGATGACCCGACAATGTTGAGATTGGTGTGCGTGTTTGTTCACCCTTTAGTCTTTTGCTAGCCACTTCTTCATCGCCTTCGTTGTGTAATTCGCATGACCAAATTTTTAACATTGTATCCCAGCTGCCAGATGCTAACAATTTAGCCGATGGACTGGTCGCAATTGAGTCAACACCACGTTCATGACCTTTGCACACGTAGATACAGTCGACGGCATTGGTTTCAATATTCCATTCCCAAATCATAACTGTTTGATCCTGTGAGGCTGATGCAAACACTCCCACCTTATCACTCACCGAAATCCATGTCACTGCTTTTATTGGCGCCGAGTGACCCGGTATGGTTAGCAAATGTTTACCATTTACAAGCCAAACATTTACTGTATTGTCATAACATCCGGTCAAAATCCTGAGAACAATGAATCAAATTGAAAAAAATGTTGCGAAAAAGTCAAATTTTCATGCATTAAATGTGCATTTTCTTTGCTGAAATCTCACCATTTGCCATAAGTTTCAACCGCTGACACCCAGTCGTCGTGAAGCAAACAATTTTGTGGCTCTGGCACTGGGAAACGTTCGATATATTCAATTTCAATGACATCTTCGAATGATATGGATCGTTCTTTCAAGTGAAAATTCAGGCGTGATCTGCGAACGTTTGAAAAATTGTACATTTAAAAAAAAAGTCAACATTCTGGTTGAAAATCAAACTTACCGCAAAAATTCATTCAAAACGATGAATTCGAAATCGATGGGTTTTGAACGCTTGGCATCGCCACTTTCTTGCAACAAAGCATTCACAAATGTGTTGAGTTCCTCTTGTGTGACGTTAGCACCAATCGAATATGGAATATCTGGCACTGCATATCTAGAGAAGAATGGTTAAAAACACCTTTGAATCCGCTAATACCTACTAAATTGTGGATATGTTTTTGAACATAACCCCACATGGTTTTGTTATTTAGAAGAAATGAACACGCATTTTATCAACTTACTGCTCTTGTTTGGTGACTAAATGAATTTGCACCTGTCCTTCACCGGTCTCAATTTCCATTTTTCGGCTTTCCTGATTTTTAATATCTTTTTAAAAAAAAAAATATTAATAAGCTCAGATCCGTTTGGGTTGTGTGTTTTCACGAATCGTGACAATCAAACAAATACACGTTTCTGCGCAAAGCCATGCCATTCGACCATTTGACAGATGTCAAAATTCGCCGCAAACCAACACATTGATACAGCAGCGTGCGTTCACTAACACACTCACACCAAATTGTGTCATCCATGATTGTTTCCACACAAAAGGCGCTCAATTCAACCATTTCAAATGCTAAATCTAACGTATTTTCAAAACAATCAACACCATTTCCATTCAGTAATAGGGGCAATTTATTTTTGAAAACATTTTCGATAAATTTATTTATATTTTACATGATTTTTTCTATATAAATAGAAGTGAATAATGATGATCTCCATTGAACGATCCAACGAACCGATTTATTTATTGTCAATTTCTTCTTCGCTTTCTTCTTCGTCATCAGTTACGGTTTGACCCAATTTTATGAGCCGGTGTCGATATTTCTTGATTTTATTCTCCTGCAGATAGAAAAGAGATGAAGGGAAATTCTTAAAACGCACATCAATGGAAATTATTAATTGATTTTGAAGATAAGAAGGGGAGAAAAGTCGTTTTGCCACAGGCTGAACCAATGAAATGACGGACTGGTTTTGTGTATTTTTCAAATGAAGCGTAAATATACCTTGAAATTGCCCGAAACAAAGCTACGCTTGAAAGAGAAATACTGTAGTATTTACAGAACATGTTCAGCCCGCGGTTTGGTGTTACAATTAATACCAAATCGGATTCGGTTCAAAGAACCAATATGTATCAAGACGAAAATTCCCGTGTTTTTCATTCAAATCTGATTTTGTTTGGTTTTCCACAAAAATTAATTGTTACAAAAAAAAAAATCTTCAATCCTCCACATAAAAAGAAATATACCAACCTGATCGGTAAGCAATTCCAATAAATCCTCTTGATCTTTTCTCAATTTTCCGATTTCCGTTAAGCTCAAACTCTGTTCGGTCATTTCGAGCGCATCATTCAATTTGGCATTTAACGAGTCGACTTCGTCTCCAAGGCGACGATTTTCCGATCGATAAAAGTCCGCCTCCGTGGCCGAGCTGACGAGATTATTGTTATTATTTGTCGATTGGCCATTTTGTGTGGCCGTGCTATGACCATTGGTAGCTGCTGCCAATTGTGCTTTCAGCTACAAAATATACGAATGTAAAACAACATGTTTTGTATAAATGTATAAATACTATACCAAAATGTTTTGGTCGAATAATTGCGCGTTTGTCTGTTGCATTTCGGCCATTTGTTTCTTCAGACTCTTGATTTCCTCCTCCGAATTCTTGGCGGCAATTTGCAGATTCTGTAATTTATAATCTTGATCACGAATGATGTCTTTGTATTGACTGATGACACCGGATGCATTTTGATGCTCGGGCGAGCTGGACACATTTTCAAAGTCGGTAAAGTTTTTCACGATGATTCCTAAGAATAAAAATGAGCAAATTTTAGTCTTTTTACCGAATATCAACGTATTAAAGTGGCCATGAATGGCAATTTACCTTCAATATTCTTAATTAATTTGCAAAATTCATAGTCTAAAAGTAGATCGCTGGCGGATTTGGTTCGAATCTGTGGTACTTTAGCGGCCCGACTGTATGCCTCATGTTTGGTCACCTCGCCCAATTTCTTCGTGAATGTTTCCAGTCCGATTCGCTTCTGTACCAATTGGCATAAATCTTCTCGTCGATTGTTTTGCACGGAATTGTCGTTGAATTGAATGCTGATGCCCATGAGAAAGGCGCACAGACTCTGCACCAAATACTCGTTGTCGTCATGTTCATTGGCACTGATTTGTGAAATGAGATATGCGGTTGTGTTTGGTGTGGTGAGAAATGCTTTGACAGCGGCTGGACAGTCGTGCAACCATGTGCACAGCAACATTAGAATGCCGAGTTTCGATTGAAGCTTATAGTTGCCCATCTGTAGCAGTGTTGTGCATTGTTGGAGTAATGAAATGGGTTCGCTACCAGGTGATGTTGCCAATAGAACTCGGAGTAATTGTTGTTTCTGCGTATTGTTGCCGATGAGTGCATGCGTGAGTGAAACCAATGAGAACCAATTCGACAATGCATCCGAACTGAAAAGACCGCCGCATAGAAGCTGACCGGCTGTCAATGTGGATACGCTTGCTGTTGACGGCAAAAGTGTTTGCACTAATTTAATTTGGCCGATTTCATTGTGATAGAGGAAATTCTGGAAGCAATAGAGTACGGCAGTACGTAGGCTCAACGGTTGTTTATCGTTCACCATTGACATAAGAAGAACGACGATGGCTGGTTGTGGTGGATTACTTGGTGCCAAAATCGAATTAAAATATTCCTGATTTTCATTGTCACCGCGAATGACTTCGGCCACTGTGTTAATTGTTTCGGTCAAAATGTCCGATGGCACACCGCTGCCCATCAGAATTTTGCACAATGTTTCTAATAAACCACAATTTCGCATGGTTTTCTGACACGATGTTACGATAATCTGTGAATTAATTGGGCTAACTAAAGCACGTACAATCTGTAACATGCAATGCATGTTTGATACTTTCTGTGGTGTCCAACCCGATTCGTCCAATTCCGGTGGAAGCACTAACATCGGAGCCAAACGTTGAATGTATGAACCCTCTTTGAAAAACTGTTGATTACTCGAATTATTCTTCAGCAAATTGATCATTAAAATGAGGCAATCTTCAACGACAATCCCACCATCGGAAAAACCTTCGTCTCGTATCACATCGAACAATCGATCAAACGCATTTTCAAATGCCACAATTTTCTGTATATTCGCATTGCCTTTGATCAATTCAATCAGCAATAGCAGGGCATCATTTCGAATTACTTCACGACTATCTACCAGTAAATCCTAAGAACACAAATCAATGAATCAAATTAGACAAAAATGTTGTTGAAAAAGACGAATGTTTGTGAATTGTCTTTGCTAATATCTTACCATTAATTTGGAGACGGCCATTGGGCTGACCAATATGATTTCTTGGATATCCTTATGACGATTGGCTAACAGTGATGTGAGTAGTTTTATCGACGGCCATCTCACTTTGAAGTCGATTTCTTCCAGAAAACTTAATACTGTCGTCACATTCTCGGTGGATTTGATAAACATTTCGGTAAATTGTTCGCCTATGTTCGTCGATACGGTGGGATTGTCCATTTCCTCTTCGAATTGCTCTTGTGATGTGATATTGCATAATGTATCCAAGGCATAGCCAACGATTTCACAGTCGCTGCGATCCATTTCAAGGATTTGCACCAGAGCTGACATTCCTTGGGCACCGACCTCGACACGGTATTTGCGCGACAACGATTTCAAAGCACGGCACGCATCACGCCGATCTTCGAGCAACGTTGACGTCGATACACGGTCTACCAATCGTTCGACCTATTCAAAACGGAGAAGAGAATAAGAATAAAAAAGATATGAATAGAGAGAAGGAACTGTGATTGGTTTTGAATGAATGGTAAAAATTTTGAAGGAGAAGAAATAAAATGGAATTTATCGCTTTTGAAGCGTATGGTGTTAATATAACGGAACGTGTTAATTAGATTTCAAAGAAGTTTTCAAATTCAAATGAAACATGTAAACAAGAAGACAATGTCAAAATGTACAGAAAAAGCAACAACAACGAAAAACGTGTTATTTTGTCAAATGGTCTATAGTTTCGTTGTCGTCCCGACCGATTATAAATGTCGTTTTTCTATTCTCTAGAATATACCTTTTCATTCTCATTTGCTCAGTACATAAAAAAGCGAACGTTCATTTGTGTCCGCTTCAAAAATTCATGCACTGTCATTTTATTCGAGCTCATAACCGAGCACATCTTCCAAGCTATAACCGAACATTTTAAAGTCAACGGCATACAATTTGTACAGACTTTTGGTGACGCTGACCGGAATTCGATTGAAGTATTCACGCAACAATTCGCCAGTGCCCGATGTACGTTGACTCGTCGGAAAGGTGATGTTAACGCCGGCCAAATGAAGTGCAAGTGCCGAATCATCGATGAGTGTCTCGTACTTTCCAATCACATTATATTTTATCGCACAAGGATGGCATAATTTATTTATAGGCTCCCAATGCTCGTTAAACGAATTGAACGATTGATTCGCTTGATTGTTCATACTCAGTTCAGGTGTTAACAAATACATAATGAATTCATTGAATGTAACGTCATGGCCTCGATTCAACGAATCGGTTTCTGCATTTAGTCGAAATGATTTAATTATTTGCCTGCCAATACGTTCTTGAAAGTATCGAGCACTTGGCATATTTCCTTCCAATTTATTGCGATAGGCTGACAACAAACGCTCGAATGGATGGCGAACGATGATGAAACGCGTGTATTGTGTTAAAACGGTTTCACGTTCGTCGGGTGTTAAGCCATTGAATTTGCGAAACATCCCGGCTGAGTGGGCCAAGGCTGCCGGGATTTTCAGTGGGTCGTTGCCATTTTTCCATTGGTCTGTCATCATCATTAGAACTCGTTTCCAGTTGGTGCATGCCACTTTCGGCACATAGCAATAGAGAAATTTATGTTTGTCATCAATTATCATGTGATCGAGTTGATCGTCTGGTATTTCTGCTATGTCTTTGACAATCCCATTAAATTGCAAATTGGCACACACTTTCTGCACTTGCTCCTGACGCAATAGATTATTCGTTTGGGTCAATTCAAACCCGTGACTATTCACACGGATGTTATGATTGTTCACATTTTCGACTATCGATGCATACAACAACAACGACGATGACGGCGGCGGCGACAGCAGCGGCCCCACAATCAACACAATTAAAATTATGCATAATGAATTCGGCACACGAAATGTGGAATTCAACAAAGCTGTCACTATTTTCAATTCATCGTACGCCAACATTTTCATTGCGAATTTCTCGAATTCAGTAGCTCACATACACACACTCACAGCACTTTCTGAAAATTTGATTGATTTGACGTTGGCTTTGATATCGTTCGTTTGATGATTAATTAGATGGTTGAAATTCGATTTAATTAACATTCCAAATAACGTGGAATTTTTCGAGTTTTTTACTACTTTTTTTTTTCTTGAATGGATTTTTATAAAAATAATATCTTTTTAATGGAATATTTTTTTTCCTTTTTTTCCGGATGCTTTGTAGGCATTTGTGCCACGACTGCTGCAAAACGCATATATCACACTGCTCACGATTTATTAACTCAACTAATTGGTCTCCGTCTTATTCTCATATTCTCCAATAATCTTAATCAAATATATACACGTTCAATTGGTGAGCCTGGGCTTAGACAACTGTCTATCAGTTCAAGGCAATCGAGTATATTTAATAACGTTTCTAAGCACGATTCATTAAAATAGCATTCATTCTATCTCACTCATTTCAGTTTTTTTTTGCATGCAATTCATGTTCGTTGCTATTTTTGTTGTTGTTCATGTAGTTTTGAATAGAACTGTCAGTTGTCTGCTTCTAGAATATTAAGTGTGTATTTTATCGTTTTTCGAATATTTTGACACTTGACTTGCACATTCGACCGGTTTTTCTTTTCTCGGTTATGTTTGCGTGAGTCTCGTTGAATTTATTCCGATTTTTCGTTTTATTTTTGTTTATTTTTTAGTTGATTTCGTTGGGTTCGGCGATCGATTTTGATTTTTTTCACAAAATTCAATACGGTTTTGTTGCGTACACCACAGTCACGTAGTGGTATCTCATCATCTGCAAGCACAGCGGTGTCATGTTGCAGATAATATGTTCGCCAGATGTATTTCCATGAGATGTTTGGAATGGTTTCATTGGAATTTCTTCGCTCCGATTGCTTTGCACCATTCGTTTCGGCAGTTTCCGTTGTGCGTTGTTGTTGTTGTTGTTGCCGATTTCGAAGGGCTGTGAATGTGCGTCGAATGGCCGCTTTTAAATCGCGTACACGGCTATTTTTTGGCACAATGACCTTAAGCTGCTGGTATGGCTCACGTGTCACATACACTTTTATCGATTCACCATTCACGATTGCAATTTCGGCTGCAATTTCTTCGGGCGTTACATCATAACTTAAATCACGTAATGCAGGTGTTTTAGCCAATAGACTTTTTAAACGTTCTCTCGTTTCGTTGCGTAAACGCTGATGATTTTTTGAGAGTTCAGAACTTGCTTCAAAGTCCGACACCACATCCACACTATTCATGTTTCGATCGAACACTGAATCGGAAACGCACCGCCGATGAAAATGAAAGAATGAACGAAACAAAAAACAAATTATACTTTGAGAAAACTTGTTGTAGTTGTGGTTGTGGTTCCGTTGACAAAAATTCCACGTATAAATGAAAGAAGTGTAGAGAGAGAGAGAGAAATCACACGTCGTCTGACATCTTTAGTATTTGCTATCTCTTCTGTTCACATTTTCTTCATACACGGTCCACGGTAGAGTTCTGTGCTATGTTGCCATCCAGTGAGTGACTGACTGATTTTTGTTATTTCTTCTTTGACTCGGCTTTTGTATTCTCCCCTTCCAATCACAACTGTATTCCAGTACATACGCTTGGTGTTGTGCGTTTTTTTTCTTCTCCTCTCTTTTCTCTTGCAACACACCGTACTTAAGTTTCACTGTTAGCTATGTGCTATTTTTTACAGATGAGCTTGCATTTTATTTTCTCTTTATAATAATTGAACATCAATTGAAATATTCACGTTGATTTCAATGCGTACGATGAAAATGAGCGCCACAAATGAATGAACGAATGAGAAAATAATGATAAAATGGCAAAAATATGGTGGATTGACACTAAAGACCATTCATAATGACTATGCAACACAAAATATTATTATTTATTTTTCTGTTTGCTTTCGCTTAACATATAGAGAGAGAAATTTAGAGGGTATTTACTGTTTCAGCGCCACTTGGCTGGGTACCGGGCTCTGGTGAGCCTAAAACACTTTTTAATCCACTTTTGAAAAAATCCATTTCGTTTTTATGTGTTTTGATGACGATTTCTTTCCTCTTTTTAGCCTTAGCCACTAATTGTGTGTCTGTGTCTTTCACTCTCGCTCAATGCCCAAAATGCAAAACAGAAATAATCAATCGTCCTCACGCCAACCGGGCTAATTCAACAATCTGCTGCTATTTGCCGATTCAATATCGTTTTCGAGTGTTTGTTGTCACCTATTTTTACAACTTATACAAAACTAAATGCGTTCGCCGAACAAAAAACATAGATTGACCAAAATTAAAGCGATTCTGATACTCGAATCGAATACCAAAACATAATCGTATTGAACACGTCATATCGTCATTTGGTCACAGTGAAATTCATTCGCTTGACAGTTCAATTTTCTTTCGAAGTATTGAGATGTTTGAGTTGTCGTTGCGCTTGTGCGAGTCAGCTGTCACTGTCACTTATCGAGTGCAGTACTAGATTTTTATTTGTCTTAAAGCCACATACTCACCGTTGCCAAATCTCATATTCTCCGTTCGATTGCGGGGAAGAAGTCACATCACGAAGGATGATCGGCAGGAATTTGGATTTTTATTTGAAAAAAAAATCAAAACAATTCACTACATCAACTAAAATAATCGTGATATTTGTTAAAGATCAACAAAGGTTCTCACGAAAGAGTGTGTTTGTAATCTGGTGCTACATATTTGCTGTTCATACTAATTTTGCAAAAAAAATGGCAAATTTGGTGTGATTGCCATGAAATCGGTTCAGTGTTTCATATGAGCACTGTCCATCTAATTTATTATTCAACTTACTTTCTATTATGGACAATCAGTGGGTTTGGAACTCCATATCCATACGAAAAGTTAAAAGCAAACATGTATAATAAAATAAATGAGCTCATATGACGGAGGCTATGAACTGAAAGATTCTCGTATAAAACGCAGAAAATAAAAACGCAGAAACGCCAAAACGCAGAAAAAAAAACGCAGAAAAAAAACGCAGAAAGACAAAACGCAGAAAAAAAACGCAGAAAAAAAAACGCAGAAAGACAAAACGCAGAAAAAAAACACAGAAAAAAAAACGCAGAAAGACAAAACGCAGAAAAAAAAACGCAGAAAAAAAACGCAGAAAAGACAAAACACAGAAAAAAAAACACAGAAAAGACAAAACACAGAAAAATGAAAAATTTGATTTTTGACTAAAATATTGGGTAAATGAGGGTTCTTTTGGGTTATTTTTCCAAAATAATGGCATTTTATCTTGGCCAAAACCTCAAATAGTGTATTTTTCTGGTACCTCACATACATTACATTTACACTAGCATTTAGAACAACAACAAAGAGAGAGAAAGAAAATAAAAGGACAAAAACTTCATATAAATAAAAGGAGTTCATGCTGCGCATCGCAAAAAACTATTTCAGTGTGTGATATGAATGAATTTTGGCAAATACAGTTGCAGTGTGAATGGTTTTCGCGAAATACGGCATTACTTTGTGTGTGTTGCTGACTGTATTTTTTATGTTCGAAACAACAGCATTTGATGCCGTCGCTTTCATTCTTATGCAGTTTCATTTGCATTGCCGGCGATTTTGAGGCATAAATAAAAAAAAAAAGCATATAAGCATTTAGTTTCATCATTCTAACATTCTATTCGTTTCGAATTTGGATCTCATTTGCACTTTGTTATGGATTGTTCTTCATGAATTGATAAAGCAAAAAAAAAAACTCACAAATGTCCAAAAGGGAAAAAAATTTCATTGTAGCGTGAGAGCGATAATTTCCAAGCAATTGCTCGGCTGGCAGAAACTTCAGTTAGTATCATTTTCTTCATATTCAATATATTTCCAGTGTGTCAATCAATATGACTGGACATTTATTATGTGAATACTGTTCGAAAAAAGAAACATAAACAACCACGAATAAACCACTGCCGTTACATGCCTTGTGCGTGATACGTTTTAAGTAGTGACTATAAATTAGGTGGTCGTTCGACGGCTGGTTATTATGGACAGGACGAAGCGCATTTAGGAATTCTCGTTGAAATGGCATTGCCTTCTATTAAAGCTTAATTCGGCAGTACTGAGAACATTGTTTCGTCCATGACAATTCTCCTATGCATACTGACAGAAGAGTGCGTGAATTTTCGGGATAAATCGATGTGCCCGGGCTTGAACTTGAATGAAAATGAGCACAAGATACAGATATATTATGAATAATGGTTTTTGTCCTTTTATTTTCTTTCTCTCTCTTTGTTGTTGTTCTAAATGCTAGTGTAAATGTAATGTATGTGAGGTACCAGAAAAATACACTATTCGAGGTTTTGGCCAAGATAAAATGCCATTATTTTGGAAAAATAACCCAAAAGAACCCTCATTTACCCAATATTTTAGTCAAAAATCAAATTTTTCATTTTTCTGTGTTTTGTCTTTTCTGCGTTTTTTTTTCTGTGTTTTTTTTTCTGCGCTTTGTCTTTCTGCGTTTTTTTCTGCGTTTTTTTCTGCGTTTTTTTTTTCTGTGTTTTTTTTTCTGCGTTTTGTCTTTCTGCGTTTTTTTTTCTGCGTTTTGGCGTTTCTGCGTTTTTATTTTCTGCGTTTTATCCGGATACCGAACTGAAACGCAGATTGTCCTATACCTCAATCAGAATTTGAGCATGGAAGCCACAGCAGAAATTAATATCGATCTCCAGAAAATCAACTCCAAAAAGGAAGACTTTGACTTTAATTTCACCAAGCTTAAGGAATTGTGGAAAATGGTGAGGCATAACTTGTTCAAAATGGATAATTGAAGCAAAATTCAAACTGTGTTAAGTAGCAAAGCCACAACAGTAGCAATACAAGTGAATCTAGTAGACCTTCGACGTGACTACGACACATTGTACACTATTTTGTTTGTCAACATTGATAAAAACTACGATTGAACATGTATACATTTCTTTGGTGTATTATAATACACCAAAGAAATTCCAATTCTCAATCAATATTTTATGATAATTACCGTCAGAATATTAGATTGATTTTCTCTTCAATGACTTTCGATATTCCATCAACTAAAATGTATTCCAGTCATTGGGACATTTTCAATTTTGTAAAATGATTTGAAATATAAAAAAATTACCTACACAGTAAACACGATTGTTCTAACTTTTAGAACCGCAATATGAAATTTGGCACTAAAATCCATTTAAGTACCATTTGTACTAGAAAAAGTTCAAAATGTACTAAATCACAAATCAAAGCTTCATGTATTTATTATAGAACTTTTGAACTTTTTCTAGAGCAAATGGTACTAAAACCAAATTAAGTGTCAAATCTCAACATTGCTAGAATCAATACTGTGTATATTATCAAATGAAAGAATTTTGGTTTCAACTTTGTATAACTGAGCAAAAACACGAAAATCGGGAATGGTTAGAAATTTTTTTTTATTCAAATATCGCGGTACTGTGGTCTTTTTTCTTTAAAAGTGATCCTAAAGTATCGGCCAATACCATTTTCATATGAATGTAGGCGTTTATAGTGGCCCATTTCAACGTAGTTGTGCTTGTGCCTCGTTTTGTGTCAAAATGAGCGAAAATACACAACCTAACAAAAAGTCAATTTAAATATATAATTTTCGTTATCATTGCTATTATTCACACTCAATATTATAGCGACATCTATTATTAAAATAGCTTGTAGTAAATGCATTTATAGCATTTCCCTGTAGTCGCGATGTTTCCTATTAAATTCCCTTGTAGTACTGACACATTCATGTTTGACACTTGTTAACTACATACCACAGGGGAATTTAATAGGTAACATCGAAACTACAGTGAAATGCTATGAATGCGTTTACTACAAGCTATTTTAATAATAGATGTCGCTATAATATTGAGTGTGTTCAATTTTATTTATTAGATTACGATGTAATCGTGCTATTTTGGCCAATTTTTGCAATGAATACATCTTATTCATGTGCATTTGAAGGCTCTGAAAGGTGCCGCAAATTGGAATGTAAATAAAAAATATTAGTTACTTTATTAGACTAAAACACTTATACGAGCCTTCAGACATGTGTAACGAGCCAGTCTTTGTTACATTGAAAAAATCGAGATCATTTGATGACAGGTTTTTTCTTTGTAAACCAATCCAGAACTGAACACCACAAAGAATGATAACACTTCTATTCTTTTTCTACAAATTTGAATCAATTTCGAGTATATTATTGCATTTATTTCAACCGTCGATGTACTTTGTAACGATCCAGTCTTTTATGTGTAACCTTCCAGTCCTTTTTTTGATCAGAGAAATCGGAATCGTTTATGACAAATTTCTATTACAAATCGATTCGAAACCAAAAATCATGATAAATTCTCGTATTTCTATTTGTTATCGACTGATTTGAATCTAATTTGAATTTGATATTTGGTTTATTTAGCCCGAGGAATTTTGTGTAACGAGGTCTTTTTTCTGTAACCTTCCAGTCCATATATTTTGGATCGTAGAGCGACCCGAATTGATTTTTATGGGGTAAATATGGTTTCGTTCGTTTCTTTGATCCTTCAGACAGCGAACAGAACCTTGGAGTACAAGGATGCTCTGCTGGAGGAACTGGATTTTAGATATATGTAAGATAAACTCCAAACATATCGCCAAAATTGTAACCGTCCAGTCCAACAAAAAAACGGCTATATCTCTATAGGTGTGAGAGATATGGGAAAGGTTTGTTGGTATGAAATGTTCCTTTTGTGGTCTAGATTTGCCTCAGCATAATACTTCAAGTGGTTTCTGGGTTTACAGAAGAGATATAAGCATGAATATTTTGAAAAATCGTGCGAATGTAATGGAAGGTTAATGGTCTGTGTTTTTGCCCAACTGCATTTTCACACAGTATTAGTAGCACTTTCAGTAATAAATAGAGCACATTTTGGTAAAAATTGTACGCAATTCGTGCAGGATTGTGATTTTTTAAAATCAAGAGTGAAACAATGATCCACAATGCCTGGTCGGATTGGAACGAAAATCCATTGAATTTTGACTATAGTAACAAGAAACACAATTCCATGATTCCATTTCAGTGATCATTTGTCCGACAATTAAAATCGTAAAGCATAAGTTGGATCGTCCCGGGCAGCTGCAACGTATCACCTCAAATACGAAAAGCGCCATCTGCACATATTTGACTATTCAAAGTGAACTAGCTGTCATCAGTATCGATGAGTCATCGATGCTCAATTTTGGGTCATAAACGGTACATTGAAAATTGCAAAAGAGCCGTTTATGACCCAAAATTGAACATCAATGACTCATCATTACTGATAACAGCTAGTTCACTTTGAATAGTAAAATATGTGCAGATGGCACTGCAAAATCGTTCACCACTGACAAACGTCAAATTAGTATGGTAAGAAGTCAATGTTGCAGCCTCCTGGTTCGTCCA